CTCTGTGTTGCACCTTGATTTTTCATAGCCATTTGAAATTAGAGGCAACCACTGCATTTTAATCATGAATTGAAAATAAAAGTGCAATGTTTGATTTATATTAGACAGTATGATTTCAATATCTGAAGCAAAAACAGAATAACCTGACTTTAGCTTTGTGAAATTATGCTACATATAACATCTGTATGAAACAGAAACAGCAGGTGGGCTGAATGAGACGCAGATTCACTCTCTGACAGCAGGCGGCACTTATGGTATGGTACAGTGATACAGCATTTCCTTGGTTACTACTGTAAACACAGCAGCACTGCGCAAAATAACATTTGCATATTCTTCACTCTGTGTTGCACCTTGATTTTTACATAGCCATTTGAAATTAGAGGCAACAACTGCATTTTAATCATGAATTGAAAAAAAAGTGCAATGTTTGATTTATATTAGACTGTATAATTTCAAAATCTGAAACAAAAACAGAATGACCTGACTTTAGCTTTGTGAAATTATGCTACATATAAACATCTACATGAAACGGAAACAGACGGACTGAGAAAATGATTTTCTTTGTCTTTTGTTCTTTGATTAACATGACAGACAGCAGTAGGAATATTGGACTGCGGTCCCTTTAAGAGTTTATCCACGGACTCAATATAGGGCCTGTTTACACCTGGTCACTTCATGCATTTTCGCTGATTGGATATCTATCGGATTTTTTAAAACGTTTCCATTTACACTTGGCCACATAAATGTGTTGTCACAAAACGGATATAAATCCGATCTTCAATTCCCGCGCTATATTTAAATTTAATGGAGTTCACATAAACGAAATCAAAAGATAAGCGCTGCCTTTTATTAATTTTTAGCTCATTTCAAGATCAAAGACCACAATAGGAGAGCGCGCGGCATCAGCACTGGAAAGATAAGTTTGTCTTACACTTTTAATGAAGATGATTGTGTGTTGAGCATCTGCGTCTTACTTTCAGTTTGCGCATCGGCATGCTGAAGAGATACTCAGCTACTCGTCCGCAGCGATGCGTGTTGCATTAGCGCAGTCTGATTAATGTCATATAGCCTATAACACGCTCTCACACGTTTATTATTTTAACATTTTGGGAGGAGTAAAATTTACATATGTGGTTTCAACAACCAGATGCATTTACACTTGTCCAGTTTTGTCTGGAATGCGTCCCAGACCACCTCCTGAAGTGGTTTGAG